GGTCAAAAGGTACAAACTCCAGTTACAAGGCCAGAAGTTATAAATTGGTACCAGAGACAGGGCAGGAAGGACCGTGCTTAATTGCTGGTACTTTCTGCTGGGTCTTCTCGAGGGGCCTGATCTCACTGCCCAACTCACCAACTCTTACCACCTTTCAGAGTCCCTTGATAATCACTTTATGTATTTTTTATTAGTGGGAGAGCTGGGTGTTACCCGTTTAATCCATTTGGTCAGAAATGCAAGTTTCTTTATGTGACTGTTTAAGCAATGGGATCAGATTGATTACAAGGTGATTCTTTCTATAACTTTTAGACCATTCAGTATTTTTCATATTAAGATATTTTTAATGACCCTGAGGTCTCTGGCTTGAGTATCTGGATGGGGACTACTCAGAAGAAAAGGAACTGGGTGAGGAAGGTACTGATGCACTGAATTATGAATACTGACATGTCAAATCATGACTGCCTACAAAGGCTAGAGGCTGACTGTTACAGAAGGGGAGCCAAAGGAAGAGACAATGTCAAGAAATAGGAGGGAATCTGTGATGTGTCTTATGCAGGGGAACTGAAGATAGGTTGCTGCACTGGGAGGCCAGCAAGGATGAAAAGATAGACAGTGAGAGGGGCACAGGGAAGGTAGAAAAACTGAGGCCCAGAGTTTTCAACCACATTCACTCAGAAGAGGACTGTCATGAGATGGATAAGGCTAAAAAGCAAAGTGGGTTTGAATATGGTAGGTTTTCTTTAAGAATTCAAGATATATGAATATATTTTTACTGATACCAACCCCCCCCCCATATTGAATACACTGACTAACTGCAGAGAACCTAACAGTCTCTTTGAGTTTATTCCCCAACAACCAAAGACAAGATGGATATCTGTCTCCACTGTCTCATGGCATCCAGATGCACCTGCCTCCTCAGGCCAGCAGCTCTCCCAGGGTGAGTCCTCATGCTTGCCTCTGGGGTCAGCACAAAGCTATGGCTGTGGCAGGAGTTCACCAAGTGTTTGTTGAAAGAATGAACACCCGAATGAATGAGAATGAGAATCTAGAGAAAGATGGTCAGAGAAGCTCTTTAATTTGATGTAGTCCCATTTGTTTATCTTTTCCTTCACTATCACTGCTTTGGGTGATGTGTCTCTAAAGATGTTACTGAGGTGTATGTCATGTAGTGTTTTACCTATGTTTCCTTCTATATATTTTATGGTTTCAGGTCTTATGTCTAGTTCTTAAATCCATTTTGAGTTGGTTTTTGTGCATGGTGTGAAGTAGTAGTCAAGCTTCATTCTCTTGCATGTAGGAGAAAAAGGAACTCTCCTGTACTGCTGGTGGAAGTGCAAACTGGCCCAACCACTATGGAGAGCTGTGTGGAGGTTCCTCAATCTGCTAAAAATGGAGCTTCCATATGATTCAGCAATTCCACTCCTAGTTATTTACTCAAAGGACACAAAAACATTAATTCAAAAGGGCACCTGCACCCCTATGTTTATTGCAGCACTGTTTATAATAGCTAAGCTATGGAAACAACCCAAATGCCCAAAAATAGATGACTGGATCAAGAAGATGTGGTATATATATATATATATATATATTTATATACACACATACACACACACACACACACAATGGAGTATTACTCAGCAATTAAAAAAGATAAACTCATGCAATTTGCAGCAACCTGGTTGGACCTGGAAGGGATCATGCTCAGTGAAATAAGCCAGAAAGTAAAAGAAAAATACTGGATGGTCTCACTCATAGCAGGAATTTAGAAAACCTAAATAAGGGATCAGGAAAAAGACTAATTATAATAAAGTAAAAATCAAAATCAACAAGCAACTATAAACCAGAGACACACTATGGGGGTTTAGGGGAAGAAGGGAGTAGGATCAAAACAAGGGGGGTAGGAATTGTACAGGGATTATAAGCAAGATGAAAATGCATACATTGAACAAAAATGAAAAATGATGTAAAAATTTATAAATTAAAAAAAAAGATGGCCAGAGACCAGGGTGTGTCACTGTGTCCCTCCAGTCTTGGGGGAATGAGCTTGGAATGTGGCCAAGGCCAGTTATTAAATGGGGCCCTGGCTGAGAATGGCAATTTGTCCAACATGTGACCACACCTACATAAAGAACAAATTACACACAATACACGCGCACACAGAGAGAAAGAAGACTAGAAGGAAAGGCCAACGGAGAGAACATCTAGAGAGTGAAATCATAAGTGATTTTTTTCCCCAAATCTCTTTGTATTTTCCCACACAAGAATCCCATGTTTTAATTGAGATTCCTTGTGAAGGAAGCTGCTTCCTGACCTGTCATTCAGACTCTGGGGTGGTGGGCTGGTCTAACAAGAGAATGGGTCTTCTGTACAAATAGACAAGACTGAGAGATAACCTTGAGCCATTGGCTTCTTAAGGCAAATCAGAAGATTAACAGGTCTCCTTTGTGTAGATGAGCACAAACACTTTACTAGACTTGCAATAATCACCCCCAGGTGGCTCTGTGAGGCCAGCCCCCTCAGCAAACTGCAAATCCTCTGTTTACTGTAAAACCATCAAATTCTTCCGGCCTCTCTCACTGAAGGGTTTCTCCATGCCCTCAAAAGGGAAGTTAGGATGGGAGAAGAGGCGGAATACACAGGAGGGCTGGGATAAAGCAGCTTGGAGTTCACAAGGCATAACATGAGCCCATCTGAGACACTTCAATAACCTAATTTTATGGTGTGCACCCCTAGGAGACTGGGAGATGGTAGCCCATCAGGGAGCTCTGGGTAAATGCCTGCCAACCAAGATAATAGACAGCAATAATTAGGCCTTTCTGGAAAACAGGGTAAGACTGTTATTAAAACTTTTATTATCTGTTTTATATTATTTTAATTGTCTTTAGCTGCTGTAATTTGGAAGCAATGAGGACGATAATAGAAGTAGTAATAATGAATTAAAACACAAACAGATCCAGTGTCTGCGGAAGGTGTAAGAGCAGTTTCACTGATGGGGTCTGCTCCGATCTGCATGAGGCAGCCCTCAGACCTGAAGGTCCCTGGTGGGACCCTGGCCATTGCCATGGACTGTCCTCTCAAGTACCATCCCTTCTTGGGAGGATTGATTTCCCCCAAAAATGTGAGTGATACTTCCCTTTCTCTCTGCACTGAAATGAAAATCAGTCCCCAGACTCTATAAAGTAGCCTAGATTTTTTCTCTCCAGAATTCATTTAATCAGCTATTTCTGTGGCTTAGAAAATTTTACTAAAGATAGATACAATTCTCTTCTACTATTTAAACAAAATCATTAATAAATACTACATTGTATTTTACAAATCAAAGGAAAAAAAAAAAAGATCTTTTAACTACAGACCACCCCAGGCAGCTGTAAACGAACAAAGGCTAACACTGGCAGCTTAGGTGGAGGAAGTTGTAAATTATTAATGTAGCAAAGCGTCACCCTCTGAAGCTTTTCCCCCAGCTTTCACCAGGAACCTGGGCATCCGGTGTTTAAGTTCCATTCACTCAGCAAGCACTTGAGGGACATTTTCTATCCCAGGCCGTGAAGTTGGTGGGGCTGAAGGATCAGGGTTTTATCCGCATAAAGTAAACCCCCGTTCCCTTATTTTTCCAGCTTTTTGAATCACTCTACAGTAGCTTCAATAAGCCTGCTGGCAATTTGCAGAGTAGATCATCAGTTACAGCCTGAACCTCCCCCAAGACTCCCTCACCAATGATCCTAATGTAGAGGTTGCAGCAGCAGCTGCAAAAAAAATGGCTAAGCCACCCTGGGTCCTGTCCAGGGTGAACTGTCCTGACACTTCTCCCTGGAACTGCTCACATCTAGACTGTCACCTGAGAACGTCAAAGTACTTCTATACATTGCACTTCTATTAGCTCATGAGGAGGAGAAAGACAAGATCAGAATTTCCTTGATCTTGTCTTCACATTGTTTTAGCCAAGCTAAGCCTCCTGTGCGTATCTTTCATCTTCCTTTTAGGAGAACAAGCGGGTTCTATTGAAAATATTTCCTTTCTTTCCCACACTGCAGTGCTTAAGTGGAGTCCTGGACACACAGTATTCAGTTAAAATACCCTGAAAGTTTTACTTATAATTTCCCATGGAAAATTTCACTTAAGGGCCCCTGGCCCCCGCTCTTTCTCCCTCCACCGACCCCATCCCCACCCATCCCACACAAACTCATTAATGCTTTCATTTTCTGGTACACTGATTTCCATTAATAAAAAACCAGCAATGAAAGATTCTTTAGCTCCATCACACATACCCATTCCCAAGGGATTTCTCATTTCGTTTGAAATACTATAAATAAAATGTGGCAAAAGTCAGAGCCGTAGAAAGATCATCTATTTTGTCTCTGTTCATTTTAAAAGACAGTTACTTTACAAAATTCTGACATTCTGCCCTAATCTTCAAAAGAGCTCCCTTTTGGGACAGAGTTAGCGCTCCCCTCCCCCACTGAGGAACTCACATTTCACAAAGGCTCGTGACTGCCAAGTTGGGCCACGTGAGCCTCAGTATTAAACAGGAGGAAATTCTCCTCTGGAGGGGAATGGACAGAAGGAGATAGGAGATAGGAGATAGGATAGGAGATAGGAGAGCCAAATGCTTCCTTTATAATCACGAGTGGCTTAGGCCTGGGGAGAACGTTCATTAACAAGACTACACAAATCAGGGATTCTGGGCCTTCCCAGGTAAAAGTGGAGGAAGCACCTGAGTAATCCACTGGGGTCTCATCTCCTCTCAGGGAATATGCCCGAAATGAGTTTGCACATTTTCCTGCCTTCTCTGAACATACACAAAGTCTTGATATTTGTTTCCTCTCCTACACACTCTACTCCTAACTCTTAATCAAACACAGTAGTAGTACCAAGAGGAATTTTGACTTTTTCTTACAATGTCCTTGCAACAGGTAGATGTCTGGCAACAGAGTCCAAGGACGCTGATGTCCCCACGCCCTGCCCCTTCCCAGGCCACCCTCCAATGCCCCCAGTCTTACCAGTTCCCCTGTGTGGTGACTTTTTCTCTGCTGTCCGACTCTCCTTTCTGGGGTCTGGTGGCGGTGTGACTTTCTCTGGTGGCTCTTCTGAGCTTATGTCAGGGGATGTAGGCATGTGTGGCAGGGTGAGGGTCTGCAGAAGCGGCTTTCTAGGCAGAGGTGGTTTGGAGCTGTGCGGCTCCAATGGCCGGGCCTTTCCCTTTCTTTGGTCTTTCGGGGACCTGGCACCTCGAGTGACTGGGGTTTTCCCCATCTGACATTTCTCGTCTTTTGAGAGCAAAGTCAGTCCTCCTTTTTCTAACCTGACCTCAGCACTGTATCTCTTTACTCCTTTCGCCTCCGGAGAAGACACATCTCTGTGTTTGAAAGAAAGAGAAGTGGACCGGAGCTTGACAGGGAAGGAGCTTCTATCCTCACATGTGGGAGGCTCCTGAACAGCTGGGCATGGGTCTCGCAAGCCTGGCGTGGACAGTGCATTTCGGGGGCTTCTGCCTGGCCCAGGCTGGCTGGCTACCTTATCTCCTGAGTCCTGAGAGCTGCCCTCAACTGGTGAGGGTGGTTTCTGAGGGGCCAGCTTCCTGTCCTGGGATTCAGGAAGTACCCGAAGGTCATCAATTGCTGCCTCGCTCCTCCAGGCCAGGCTGCTCCGCACAAGGGGCAGTCGGACAGTGGAGGGGCCTGAGTGCTCAAGCAGGTGGGTGCTCCCCTGGTGCGGCCACACCCGGCCTGAGGTCACAGAAAATTTTTTCACACTTCGCAGCTCACTGGCCCCTCTTTCCATTTTTGGTTCTGGGGTCGCCCTCTCAAGTTCCTCTTGAGGGGACTCTACCTGCTCAGTCTTGGGGGACTTTGTCTGCTCATCCTTGGAAGACTCTGGGGAGGTGGCCTCTTTATCCAGGGGATAGGGAGCGGGCTCCTTTGTTGGGGACTCTAAGGTGGGTGGTGTGGGAGATGTGCTGGGGCTCACGGTCACGGTCACCGCCACAGCCTTGTGCTTCAAGCAGCTCTTGGGGATTGCTGGGCTCCCAGCTGGGGTGACAGAAGATTCTTTCTCTGTTCCCTCGGGACTGGGAACTTCCAGTGTCAGCTCCTCTTCCTTTTGGACATTTTGGTCTGGCATGTCTGGACTAGAGGAAATCTCCAAGGTGGTGGTGGAACCAGTCTCGGGAGGTGTCATGTTCCCCTCAGGGATGCAGGAAGAGGACTGACTCTCAGCGTCTCCAGAAGCACATGCCACTTCATCAACTGTGTCCCCAGCTGGGGAGCATGCGATTTCAAGGGACGGCTCCTCCCTCTGATTTTCACTGTTAGGATGAGGATGCAGGGAGCCTTCTGGCAGAGATGAAGACTCTGAGCAGGGATCCACAGGCTCAGAGGCCTCTGGGGTGACCGGGCGACTGGAGGGGCTGTCCCCAAGGGTGCCCTCCTCCTCAGCACTGGCCCTGAGTGCTGGGCAGTGCTGCAGGCGTGCCCTTCTAGCCCGAGGCCCTATGGGCAGCAGCGTGGTCACCACTTCCCCAGGCGCAGGGCCTCTCTCCAGTACCACATCCTGCTGTACGGAACTGGGCTTTTCTTCTGCACTGGCTTGGAGTAATGGCTTCGCATCATATTCCTCCTCCTCTGGGGTACACGTCAGGTCACTCAAGGATTCAGACTGTGCTCGCTATGAGAAACAGGGAAGACAGAAGACAGCACTGTTATGTCAAATATGAAGGTTATGACCTCCCCATTTTGTTCAAGATTTAATGTGGTTTAAATGGAGCAGTATATCTCCAAAGTCAGCACATAAGCAGACATTCATACACTGGCATCTTTTCTTAGTCCCTCCTTAATGATCTATTTGGAATCTCAGCTCACAAGTTCAGCTTTCAGCAGAACAGTGGCAGTTATGCCTATAAAATAAATGTCACCTAAGGCCCTTGTGAACAAGCCGCAAAACTAGTGGATGATACTCTACAGTGTAGCAAAGGGGACCACACAGCCAGGCATCTGCCATGCTTTGCACTCTATGCTTGTTATTTCACTTACTCCTTGATTCCAGTGGGCTTGCAGCCTGGGCCACAGGCTGCAATCCTTTTGAGAAAAGGATTACAGACATGCCTCATTTTATAGCACTTTGCAGATATTTCAGGTTTTTACAAATTGAAGGTTTGTGGTAGCCCTGCATTGAACAAGCCTATTGGTATGGTTTTTCTAACAGCATGTGCTCACTTTGTGTGTCTGTCACATTAAGGGGTGTGTGTGTGTGTGTGTGTGTATTTTTTATATATAATGCTACTGCACACTTCACTGACTACAGTATAGGATAAACAACCTTTATATGCACTAGGAAACCAAAAACTTCAGGTGACCTGCTTTATTGTGGGGTGCTGGAAGTGACCCTGAGATCTAAGGTGTGCCTGTGTTACTCCCTGTTTGCACTTGGAGAACTAGGAGCTCAGAGAGATCCATACCTTTGTAATGGCTGAGCTAAAAGGTAGCCTTGCTGAAAAGTTGGTGCACTGCATGACCCTGTGCTGACTCAGAGCTGGCGTCCCATATCAGTGCTCTCTCCTCCCAGCTAAATTTAAAGTCCCATGCTACGGTTTGAAATGGTTTTTCCCATTCCCTACTGAGGCTGAGTGAAGTCCCCACCACTACCAAGTGCCAGACTCTGGGCCTGAGTGCCCGGCTGCTGCTTTGCCCACCCTCCATTCCCCATGTCTCTACCATCACCTACAAGGACTATCTCAGACTCCACTTCTACAGGAAACCTTGCTTGTTCCCAGCAGCTTGGTGCTCTCCCTGCTCTCCTGGCTGACAATCATACTCCTCCTTGCAGTATTTTTTTCTGAAAGGTCTCTGGAATTCAGATTTAGTCCAACTTCCTCCTTACAGTGCACAAAGACAGTTCCCCATTAGAAAGGAAACTAAGGTACACATGAATCATTCAAAGGCAGTGTGAAAATGATCAAATTTGATGTTGATTTTTTAAAACAGCTTATGACATCAGACGTGGAGAGTTACCAAGCTTTTGTAGCTCTCTCCTCCCCATTTTTAGGGAATGTGATACTTAGGGAGTTTTCACAAAAGATACTTGCTGTTGCTATCATTTTAACATTTTCTAGGTGGCATTTACTTGCTAACAGGACACAGGATAACTGGGATGTTTTTGACAATAAGCTAACTCTTGCCAAAATACACAATCTCATTCCTTTGGATATAAAAAGATGTGCAAAGAAATCTATGCAGAATTTTCAAAAGTTGCAGGTTCTTGACTTTGCTACCTTTTGCCCTTTCGCTACTAAAGGAAGTCATTGATGTTGAAACCTCTTCAGAATGTGAATCACATTTTAAAACTATTGGAACCTGCACTAAAGTCATCAGGAAACTGAAAAGGAGACCTGACTTGGGCACATCCCAAAATCCCAAAGAGAGTCACTGGAAGCTATAAGAAAGTAACAGAAGAGGTATAGGCAGGATGAAGGCTGGCATGAGGCATCATCCAGAGGGTAGATGTAGAGGCCTTTCAGAGAATAAAGTGGATTCTGATTCAGCCAGACTCTGGCCGGGAACAGCAGGAAAGATTCCTGTGTCTACTTCATGTCCCCAGACTTTCCTCCTTTCTTTGTCTGGGCTCTCTAAGCAGCTTCCACCCTCCCAAGTTAAAAAAAAAAAAAAAAGGTAGGGGACCTATTAGGGCTGCACCAAGGTGCAGATTATGTTTGCTGCCTCCTCTTGCCAGACAAAGTGTCTTGAGACAGTGTCCATGTCATCTCTGCATAGAGGACATTGCCACTGAACAACTGGGGTGAAGAGGAGGGGTCCATTTCCATCTGAGAATTGAGAGTTGTAACTAGCAGCTTGGCCAACCACATGATCTCTGGATAATCATCTCATTGTGCTGGTCCTGTTCAAACAGAGTTAATAATGTTCCCTGCACTGGCACTGCCTGAGTTGGGATGAGGACCAACTGGTGTAGTGAGATGTTAGTGTAAATGTTTCAGGCATTCCCCATCTCCTGCACTGGAGCCATACACAGGGCAGAATTCTGGGCAGTGGGGTAAAATGTCAAGATAACAACCAGTGTTTCCCTTTCTCAACTTCTGCTTTGGTGGGGGCAGGTTTAGCCAAACTTATTTCTGAATGGGTTTTCAAACTCATAATAAATATTACTTGATTTGTTTTTCCTGTACATATACAACAGGGTTTGAGGCTCCTTTCTTCCTAGAACTCCAAAAGGATGCAGAGTCTAGATGGTGTGGATAGTTGCAGGAGGACGCCTGGCCAGACAAGGCCAGCTGTTTGGTTCAAATAGAGGAAAGAACTCGGGCAGCAGGAGGAAGTGACTGAAGTGGAGAATCTCAAGATGCCTAATCCAGGGGAGCAAGCAATGAGAGTGGGTGGAGAACAAATCCCCAGATGTTACAGGGGATCAGAACTAAGGGAAAATTGGACCTCACTGTCCAGTGAAGCTCAAAGGATAGGGAACATCTGTTAAAGTCCCAGGGGCCAGGAGGGCAGCAGAGAGGGCAGCCTATTCATTCTTCCCCATCCTGGAAGCAAGACTGACTCATCTGAAAGCACTTTGGTTCCTTGAGAGAGGCCAGGTGCCAGATTCTCAGTATTGAGTAGTGGTACCTCATGACCAAAGGCAAAGGGGGCTGTCAACTGAAGGACAAAGGTCTCCAATTTAGGGCCCAACAAGGACACTGGCCTGATAGGTCTGCCCAGCCAGGAAAACAGGGATATCTCCAAAAACTGTCTTATATCAACCAAGAAGGGAAGAAAAATGAGGGAAGATATAGAAATAGCAGAGTATAAATCAAGGAATGACTGTGTCTACCCAGACTGACTCCATCAGATTTTCTGTTATTCTAAAAAATGGGCTTCAAGAGTTAGGTTCAAAAGTAAAGAGAGAGAGGTGCAACCCTGCCTGGGGACAGTGAAGAGAGGCTCATTTCCACCTGGAAGATGAGCCATGCAGTCCCCAAGTCTTGGTCAGGCTGTAGTTGGTCACACATATCCCTGCCAGGGCAAAAGCCATCCCTGTGGGAATAAAACTCAAGCTGGGGAGCCAGAGGGAGACAACGTGGCCCTGCCTTGTAGCTCAGCATGAGGAAAGGAAGATCCGGAATTACTGGACCATGTCAAATCCCAGAAGTACTGAATCTTGAACATTAAATGTGCTGGAGGCAGGTGCATTTGCACTAGTCCCCGCCTTGCAGAGGGGCACATCAGAATGAAAGTAATCACAGCTCACTTCTTTCTCCAGTGTTAGTCCCCTCCAAAGTCAACCTTTCTGGCTTGAATTTAAAAAGCATCTTCTATGTTCCACAGAAAACCCACCCTCCCCTCCAGGGAATCCCTGACAGCTTGAAAGACTCTAGCTCACTGTCTCCAGCTGAAGCACCTAGTTATCCCGAGTATTTCATCCAACGTCATAATCCTATCTTGAGGGAAAGAGGGAAAGAACTTTGGTGTGTGAACATCTCATTCCTAGCACTGCCATTCTCTCTGACCAGGCTAGCCCCATACCCTGCATCTCAGCGCTTTTGGGGGTCAGCATCATAGACACCATCAGGTAGGGAAGAAGGGAACAACCCTATGTGGACCTCTAACCCACTGGTGCCAAGAAGGAGGAGTACTCCATGAGTGAGTTAGGCTCCCACAACTAAAGGTCACAACTGCTCCCAGCTGCATGCCTTTGCCTTCTACCAGGGGCGTGATCCTGTACTAAGCAGATTCTTGTCCAAGGCAGATGTCCACTCCAGTGCTCAGCTTCTTCTCCTGCCATTCACTCATTCATTAGTCCATGAGTTTGTGTATTCATTTATCCACTCAAAAAACATTTACTGAATGCCAGTTCTGTAACTAGAACTGTTTTGGGTCTGGAATGGGGCCTTACAGAAGACTGTTACTAAACAAGTAAGTACATACATTTACAGAGGTCACCTCTGTGTGTGGCCAGTGCTATGAGGGAAGTGTACATGGTGATAGGAAGGTGGGACTGCTTTCCACAGGATGTCAGGTAAGTCTTTCTAGGAGAGGACCTCTGAGCCGAGAGCCCAGGGCCTGAGATGGAGTCAGCCAGGAGAAGATCACCTGCATCAGGGGACACAACAGGAACCAAGGCCTGAGGGGGGAAAGGCCTGGAGGGCTCAAGAAGCCAAACTGTGTTGAGTGAGAAAGAACAAGAGGAAGTTTGAGAGGGGGGCCTGGTCTTGCCAGGTGTGGCCTTTGTCCTTTACACTGAGGGCAATGGGAAGGCAACAGACTCACAGCACGTGGCAGGTTCTTGGTAAGTACTGTAGAATGAACAAATGAATGACTGGATACATGAATGAATGGAGTGTTCATGCAGGAGAGAGACATAATCTGATTTGTTTGGAAAAACACTAGCGGCTCCAGCTCCCACAGTGTGGTCCTGCTGATGGGGATTCTTAGAGAGAGAACATGATCCTGAGGGAAGCCAGGTGAAGGTGGATAGGGGAGGGGGCCGCCAAGCCTGCCTGCCCTTCCTCTGAGTGTAGGAAGGAGCCCAATTACCGAAGACAGTCGCCTCATTTTACTTGACCGCTGGTTGCGGGGTTTAACCAGGAGCTTGTGCTTAGCAGCAGAGTTGTCCAGGCAGGAAGAGAATTCCGGGGGGTAATCAAAATCAGCCAGGGGTGCCATGCTGCTGTCCAAGGTCCTTAGGGAGACGGCGGCTTCACTCAGCTGCCTGGAGAACTGTGGGTTTGGAGACAGCAACCGGGATGAGGAAACAAGAGAGACCTTCACATGGAACAAGAAACAAGCACATCAAACATTAACTTCTTGATATGAAATGGATACAGCCAACACTTTAACCCCTCTCTCCCTTCTGATGCTGTCTCTAGGTTTTACATGAAGAACATATTTCAAATTGGACTCTCAACAAAGAGGGTTCATGATACTCCTATAGAAAGGTAAAGGGCTGGGATTTTAACTGTTGGGCCAATCCCTGGAAACCTAGCACTCATTTCCAAGGTCACTCAGAGAACCTGTGGGTAGGCACCCTTAATGTAGTAACATTGCCTCACCCTCCCACAGCAGACAATACAGGTGCTTCAGGCAAGATCTACTTTCTCCTTTGAAGCAGACCAACCTAATTTCTCCAAGGGCAGAGGTTCAGGTTTAGTCCTATCTCTGGAAGCCAAGAGGGTACCCAGATGTGTGATTTCACAGACCAGAGCACACAGCATGTGCTGAGTCCACCACCAAGAATTCCATCACTGGAGCTTTGCGTGTTCATTCTAGGGTTATGTATCTTCCTGCATTCTCCTGGAGAAATCTGTGTCTAAGTTACCATCATTAACTCTCAAGTATTTATTCTCTAGCTTATTTCACTTAGCACAGTATCTCCAAGGTTAATTTATGTTGTAGCATGAGTCAGATTTTAGGATGAATAATATTACACTGTGTTTGAGAGTGTGTGTTTGTGTGTGTTTGTGTGTGTGTGTAATACACATCACATTTTGTTATTCATTCATCTGTTGGACACTTGGGTTGCTTTCACATTTTAGCGATTGTGTAAAGTGCTATTATGAACACATGTGTACAAACTGTTCTCAATTCTGGGTACATACCCAGAAGTAGAATTTCTAGATCACATGGTCGTTCTAGCCTTGATTTTCTGAGGAACTGCAAAACTGTTTTCCACAGCAACCATACCATTTTACATCCCCATCAACAGGCCACAAGGGTTCCAATTTCTGTTTTTTTTCCCCAAAGGAACCATCCTAATGGGTATGAGGTGGTGTCCAGTTTGTATTTTAACTTAAGGCCGTAATTTTATGCACCTCACCATGATTTCCTGTCATCGAAAAAAGTCTCCTCAGGAGGAGGCAGTGAGGAATATGCAGACAGCAAGCAGGCTCCTAGGGCATCAACATACCTCTGGTGCCCTACACAGATCACATGGCCCCCTGACCTCCCCTAAACTAGAAGGTGAGCCAGAAAGATGACGCTGATGGAGAGCCAGTTCTGACACAGGGACTATGTAAGCGAACTACTTCAGAGAAGAACTTATTTTTCCTGTTAACACAAAGGTGCCTTATGTTTTCTGATGGAAGCATAAAATTAACTCCTGTTAACCAGGAGAGGACTATTACTAAAACAAGGGGTAAAGGGCTATAGCATAATCTATTGTAACTATCTTATTTTACCTGCTGAAGGTTTTATGGGAATAAAATATTTTAAAAATATGAAAAAAAAATAAGGGTGCCTGGCCAGAACTTTCTCAGTGCTGTGGTTTTGGCTTCCACTACTGTGGCTCATGACTCAGGAAGTCACCTTTCAACGGGACAGTCAACACCGTCCCCAAGCACCCTCCTTAAAGATCACAAGCAGCATAGGCACATTTCAAAATCACACAGAATCCTTCATTTCCACTCTTGTCTAGAGAAACAGTGTATATAACATTTGGTAAATTTCTTTTTTTTTTTTTCTTCTTTATTATTGTCTGGGACTCAAGAAAACGACAAGATGAGCTGCTTTGTAAATGCAGGGGCTCCACGAACTAGAATGATTACTTTGTCATGACAACACAGGCCTTTGATTATCACCATCACAGTCCAAAGCCCAAAAGACAAACACTTTTGTATTTGTCTGCCTCCTTCCCATTTGGGTTGCCCTATGTCTTTCCTTGTGAGAGAAGGGGAGGTGTGTCCCACCGTGTCTCACTTAATCTTCTCCAAAACCTTCTGAGAACACAGATTTCTAGAGATGATGGAACCTGTCCCCACCTTGGCCCACCTTTGCCAGTTTGCTATCCTCTGTTCGGTGTTTCCTACTGAACGGTGGGAAACCTAGAATATGACCAGTCAATGCAATTTTACCTTAAAAGTCATCAAGTGGAGTTTCGTAAGTTGTTCCCTCACATGGTAATGAAATTAAAAAATAAAGTCCATATAGTTCCTGAAAAATTTATTCTATCAGGAAATATCACCTAGGTGATATTCATCAAATACATCTGAAGACCTTTTTGTCCACTAATCTTCATTAAGTTTCTGTCAGGCATGTGAGACCAAACAAGGTCTCCCAATAGGAAAAAGGTTAAATATCTCATAATCACAGCCCTTAAGGTATTTAAGGCACCATTATATCAAATGCCCTACGTTATATAAACACAATTTCAAGAGAGCCTTTTCTCCCTTTCAATCGGTTGACTGTGCCAAAAAAAACATTCAAGGCACAAACATGACCACTGTGATTTCCAAGCCACAAGACAGAGGTTATATGTTCTTTCTTTAAGTCTTAAAAGGCTCAAATTTTGGCTTTGTATGAAGCTAGTGTATTGTTCACATTGGTCAGAGCCTAGAATGTTTTTTAAACAATGGAACAACCACAGGGGTGACATTGAGAAGGATGAAGATAGCCCTGCCTTGTGAGAGTGTGAGCAGTTCACTGAGTATGGAATTTGTACATCATGGTGTTCTGTGGGTTTGGGGGTGGTCTCCCTACTTAATGAATAGTAGTTCAAAACTACTGTCTTCTGTACTGCCTACCCCAGCTAAAAATGATGCCACAGGCATCAAAGAAACACAGGATGGAATGAGAAACTCAGCTGACCCTGGCTCATGGCAGCCATCTCCCCACCACAGGGCCGAGGCAGGGGACACTGACACTATTTATATAAGGACCCAAAGATGTGTCTGTTACATGATAATTACACCTTGCAGGGAGCTGCAAGTCTGAAAACTGTCCCCTTCAGTATTTTAAGGTGTTAATGGGTGCAGGGTTAGCACCAAGTCCAGGATTTAGGTCAAACCTTCCTCTCTGGGCTTTTTTCTTTGCCCTCAAGGTAGAAAAGCAGGTGTGGATAGTCCACACTCCTCAGACCCTGCTTGTAGAGTACACAGGGCTCAGCCTTAAGCCAGCTCTGTGTGAACCTCCAAACCTATGGCTTTCTGACACTCAGGCTCATGACAGAAATCCTCTGTCTTGCACTAGTGAACCTCTGGGTAGCCACAGCTGCACAGATGAGATAATACTAGGCAGATAGCCTTCCTCTGCCTTTGTAGGTTGTTTCTGGATGTCCAGGTTAAAGTGACTATCGCATATACTCAGAGCCACACAGAATCTGCAAGACAGTGATTCACATTGCAACCCCTAAGACTTCACTGTAAATACCCTCTAGCAGGGCAGAAGTAACTGCTCCAAGGACACACAGGCAGGTTTGTGGCTATACAAAATGAACTCTAAATTTTGTTAGGTTTTTTGTTATCTTGTTGGTTTTCTAAAACCAACCTAGAAACACAAAGGTGTTTCCCTCTTTTAAGACTGCATGCCTGGTCTGGTCATCTGCTAGGACAGGAAAAACCAGTTACAGGGTTGATTGTATCAGAACATGGAAAACTCCAACTCCATCCACACCGTAGTAAGGTTTGTCTACAAGGAGGAATGATCACTTATGTCCAAGGAATTTGAATGGGCTTAATATGGCAACTCCTTGAGCCATGCTGTTTATACATGAGAGAGCATTCAGTGCCCCTGTGGATTCTCATTGGGAAGTCGGGGGAGCGTTCTGGGCCCACTTCCCAGGCCCTGCTGAGGTCATAAACACCTCTCCTACTTGTCAAACTTTCCTTGCTGCCCTGTTTACCAGAACCATGCCCTAATCAACAAGTTCTCATAATCCTAGAGTCAAATATAGGAGCAAAATATGTTTGCCATTCCCTGCTCCCTCCAGTCAAATGTTATGACAACAGAAAAGAGAAACAAAGGTGTTTCTCTCTTTTAAAGCTGGATGCCTAGTCTGGTCATCTACTCGGACAGGAAAAACCAGATACAGGGTTGATTGTATCAGACCTAGAACTACATGAAAAATGTTACCCAAAACCCTAGCTCCTAAAAAAATTCTCTGAAAATGAAAACACCCCAAGGACTGATGGTGGCCCCGCTCACCTGGTCTGGAACACCTGGCTACATGGAGCAGTCCATGTCCACCCACAGAAATCTCAGGGGAAGGCACAGGGCCCCCAAGACCCCCAGCTGCCCTCTGGTGAGCATGGATGGATCCATGGGGTGGCACAGGACACACTTGCCTTTATGGTGGTGCCAGCACCCACGTCATGCAGCAGAGACATCTCAGGGGGGCTCCTGGGCAGCCCGTCGTCCTCAGAGCTCATGCCGGCATCATCTCCCCGCTTGGCAGGAAGGCTCCCGGGAGGAGGTGGTGGCCCCATTTTCACATTACACTGTATTTTTAACTAGAATGGAATCAAGAACATTTGCTGTTTTCATTGGCGACTTTCACCAACAAATATTACTGCTTTAATTCATTCATTCCAGAGATATTTTCAACATTCTTCTCTGGCACAGAGGACTGAAGAGCCTCCAGCCCTCTTGCTGTCATATTGAAAATGAGTGGTTATAACTAAGAACGAGTCAAGATCCAGTTGTAAACTAACTTGAGTGGTGATGTAGGTGTAATTATAATTTAAAATAGCAAATATATAAAATAAAGCAAGCAGAAATTATCTTAAAGCCTCCAGATTTATATTTGACTACATACCAAGTGATGCTGCCAAAGAAAAGCTTACCTGCAGAGCTTTAATGCGGTCACACACATTTTCTTGGGAAAACACCCGCACAGGTCGAGGAGGGTCCTGTCCAGACTCGGGGATGAAAATGCTGTCATGTGAAAGGGCCCGGCTACCCAGTGCACCCCTGGATTCCCTAGGACAAAAGAGGCACTGTGAAACTCGGCTCACCTCCATCTCTTACGGGGGGCGGGGTACTCAGGGGAAAAAAGAAAGGGGGTTGCCTTAATGATATACCCGACAATAAGCCCTTATTTTTAATTACTCCTAACTTCACCGTATCCCCACCCAGTAAAGTACCATAGTCAACTCTTAGAAATATTGCAGAGATAGGAATTTTCTGATCATATAGGAAGGTTGTGTCAATTCTATTTATTAATGGAAAAACCAAGGTTTGATGAGGTATGAGATCCAAGACAACAGCCTACAGAAAGGAAGGGTGGGCCTAGTCTTGATCAGCTACCGGGGACTTGGCTGGCTGGCTGGCAGGGCTATTGCCTGGGGAGATCAAAATCATTCCTTTTGCACAGGCATGCAGTCCTTCAGAGCACCAGAGGCCATGTTTTTGTTTTTGGGTTTTTTTTTTTTTTTAAAGATTTACTTATGTACACAAGAACTGGAGTACAGGCCAGAGGTGTTGGGGGTGAGAGGATTCACCAGAGATAGAGAGGGAAACAGAACAGGCAGATTGACTGAAGTACACTACTGAGGGGAGCAGCGAATGAGTCAGGAGAGGTCTGCTGCACCATGTGGGTTTCCTCCCTGGCAGGGGATCGAATTTGTGCTTCAGTGGTTGCGGATAGCTTCATAGGCTGCGTCTTAACCCCTTGCGCCACCGGGGAGGCCCACTGGAGGCCATGTTTGCACAGCAGGCTTGGGGCCTGCCTGCCTGCCAGAGGCTTCCTCACAAGGCAGTCCAAAACATTTATCTAAGGCTGGATTTGAAATGTGAATTACAAATCTTCAAAGCCACACCCTCTTCATTACCTCATATGATCTGGGCAATCTATCTTGTATTATGCTTAGAGCCTACCTACAGTGTCCATGGAAGCTCCTATCATCATTATCCCAACACTCCCCCCAGCTCCAAGCTCAAGTCTCTCATGTGCAACTGAACCTACAGGACTATCACAGAGTATAAAGAGGATGTTAAAGTTAGTAGCCAGATTTTCCTAACAGTGGTGGCTGCCAGAACAATAGGTGGAAGGAGACTCGATGATAAAGGAAGGAAAGCCTGCCCCCACAGACACTGAACATCTTGGTTACTACAACCCCCATACCCACCCTGCCCAGGCATCCGGTCCATTGAGGGGCATTTTGGGACACTTAGGTGTGGCCCTGCTCCACTGCACATCAAATTGTGTTGGCTAGTGATGCTTTTTTTAAGTTAAACTTCTTCCCAGGGCTGGGAGGGTTTGTCCTCACATTCCTGGGAGGGAGTCAAGCCAAGGGAAAGAACTGGGCAGGCCTCCCTGCCCATCGCAGTTATTGTCACTATGATCACATGCACACCTCCCACAGCAGGCAGCCCATAGCCACACCCTCTGAAAGCCATAACCACTGCCTCAACACCCCCACTCCAGTTGAGAGAGCATGAAAAGGCCGCTGCAAAGACATACAATGCCATATGGCATATGGAGCTATTCACTCTGCATCATAGAAACAAAAGAATGGAAACAATCCAAACGCCCCTCGGTAGGTTTCATCATATGATAGAGACTGTGCAGCTGACAACAAGGGTAAGAAGGATCTCTTAAAACTGTATGCAGGCAGCACCAGGATAAGTAAAAATTAAGAAACAGAAAGCAGAATAATGCTTATGGTGTGGTCAGTTCTGTGCAGGAAAGTGAGGCATAAATTCATCTGAACATATGTGAATAGATGTGGGCATTCGCTTTTATTTTTAACAAATGAAAACAGAAGGATAAGCAGCAAATGAATAAAAAATGGTTTCCCTTCAGAAGAAGGACAGAATAAGATGGGGAGATGGAATCAAGTTATTTACATTTACAATGTTGTCTTTAAAGCCATGTAAATGCTTTACGTAAAGACAAAATCAAAGAAAAAGAGAAATAAAACAAGCTCTAAACTAGAAAGCAGAAACAAACTTGCCTAAATTTCTATCAGATTGTTGCCATAACCACATAGAAGTATACTTTCAATTGATTTTTTTCACTCGATATTTTAGTGACTTTTGACTCTATTTCCATAATAGGACAAATCCTAAGAACAAAAAAAGATATATCTTATTAGTAGTAACCTGAAAAATGACAAAAATATTAAATTACACTTGTTAATTTTATTAGTAGAAACGTTAATTTACTAAACAGTGCAGACAACTTTTATAATATGTAATCTCTGTGTAAGAAGTTATTGTAAGTATATTACATGATGAAGAAAATAAGTAATTTTGTTAATATCTTTAGGAACCAAAATTTCCAGTATAAGAGAAAAATGAATTCAAGCAAAGAATCACAGAAGTAAAACTGCTGTCTTATTGAACATAAAACGGAAATGTCAGTAAATTAATGATTTGTTTTTCCCTTTAAAAATAAAACATATTTACTAGCTGTATCTATAGTAAAGGCCTAGGAGCCATAACAGCCAACAAGTAATCATCACCCCTGACAGACACACTGTGGTCTGTAAAAACCATTTCAAATTAAAAGGAACCAGGATCCTAGGAAGAAATGGCTGGTTACTGGCCTGGGGCAGGGAATGTAGAAATTAGAGGAGGGTTTCTCATTCTGCAAAAAATCAAGGAAGCTTTCAAAGACAAATGCGGGCCCAGTCAAGAGAACACAGAAGCTATTTTGAAGTCACTTCCAATAGCATAAAATGGGACAATATGAGCATAAAAATAAGTGGGTTAAAGCAAACCAGAATCCACACATTCACAATTATATTCAAGGAAAAAGAAAAGAAAAAACAAAACTCATTGGTCAGTGTTGGAAATTGCTAGGGTACCCGATCGTTACTTCGAAGGAGGATCAATAAAAGGAGACTCAAGTATGATCCTGGCTTTCCCATACAAACTAATTTCAGAGCAACCAAAATATTGATGAAGGGAAGTTCTTCATAGAAGAATCCCAGCTAACACATGCAAAATGAATGGTAGAATTAGAAAAACCACCATTTTCCAATGAAATAATGAATCTAGACAATAATCATTTGTGGGTATAAATGCCCTTAAACCCACTGCTTAGTCTTAGTGTTACTAGAAATGAAACAACCAGAAAGTCTGTGCATTATGATATGATGTGACTGTAAGTATCCAACACCATCCTAAAATGAAATTTAATTAAATTTCTAGATTCATCCAATAATTTACAAGAAATTCAGAGCATAAAGGAATGGGTTCAAGCATATAAAGGGAAAGCAAGTCCAAAATGTGGGATATTCTGCAGAAGAAATAACCTGTTCCTCCATCAGATCAACCACGGGAAACGAGAAGAGGGAGAGGGCAAATTGTCACAGATAAGAAACTTAAGCATAGCCACACACACCTAGTAAGTGGGTATCAATTTTTTAAACCCACAAGTGCCCATGACAAGGAGAACTCTTTTTATTCATGGTGCCTTTACCAAGGTACAGAACTCGTTTTATTCATGGTAATGCCTGAAAAACTGTAAATACCCTGGAAGATGCAGAAACTCTGGAAGACTGTTTTCAAGATCTTGTCTCTTATACGGTCAATTAATTTATGATAAAGGAGCCAAGACTCTACAATGGGAAAAGGACAGTCTCTTCAATAAACAGTGATGGGAAAACTGGACAGTCACATGTGAAAGAATGATACTGGACAATGGTTATCATACACAAACATCAAAATGGATTAAAGATTTGAATATAAGAAACTCCTAGAAGAATACCTTACCCCTTGTCCAATAAGTTCCTGGACATGGGTCTTAGCAATGAGTTTTTGAAATTATTAGTACAAAAATAAACAAACAGTACTGGTTGCAGTGAACCATTCTCTGTGCTGTTCTCTAAAAAAGCTACTTGGACTTCCCCGCCTTCACCATACCTCACCCCAGCTTCCTCCAGCAAATTTTACCAGTAATTGAGGATCAGACCCCTGCCAGGTGCTGGGAATATAAAGATGAAAAGGATACTGTCCCCGTTTTCATGGGCTTTGTTGAAAGAGAAGATGGACAAGTAGAGAGGCCATTCACCCCACTTCCCCTCCTGCTGTTCTCCTATTCTGGCCATTGTCAGTGGGGCCATTGTGTGTTCTGATCAAGAGATAGTAGGTGGGGCAGGAGCATTATAATTTCCCCCAGGAAAGACATCTAATAATAAGGAATAAAACACGTAATGTTTTGCTCCCCGAGTTTGCCTTTAAAATGTGTGTAGTCTGTCCCCTCTGTATTTACAAGAGGCAATGTGTTTCCTGTTAGCACAAAATAAAATAAAATAAATAAAATAAAATAAAAACCCAAAAATAAATAAATAAATAAAAACCTGAAAGGAAAACCTCAGTTCCTTCCTCTTCAGTCATTTGGTGCCACCAAGTGTTCAGTGTAATTTCTACTCCTTTAAAAACAGGCAATGTGCTGATGAGGAGAGGTGGACTGGTCACATCACTGGCACGTTGCAGCCCATGACCCTACTTCCACATGGTCTGTTTCCCTCTCCCAAGGGTCATTATGCCTTCTGAAGAGTTTTATCCTCAAATTAAGGGGCTACTGTTGTTAAATATAAAAGGTGGTATGGCGATAAATCCCCTTATTCACAGAAGTAACTGTTGGAATAACAGGCAAATTACAAAAATAAGAATTTCTCCATTAAACTTCCCCAAATTTTCACACCTATTGTGTCTGTTCTTTACAATAATATTTTTGTATCATTTTTTTCTAAGACCAAACAGCAATATGTCTTCTCCCATAACCACTCCAGGTCTCTAATGGAAAATTTTTTCATTAGATTACTCAAAGTTCAAGCTAAGAGAGATTTTTCTTTTTTGGTATAGTACCAAGGTCCTTATTTTATTTTTTTTTAAGATTTATTTATTTATGCATACAAGAGCTGGGGTACAGGCCAGAGATGCGGCAGGTGAGAGGATCCACCAGAGACAGAGCGGGGAACAGAACAGGCAGACTAACCGAAATACACTGCTGAGGGGAACAGCGGGAGAGACAGGAGAGGTCTGCCTCGCCATGTGGGTTTCTCCTTGGCTAGCCAGGGATCGCACTCGTGCTGCAGAGGCTGTGGATTGCTTCATAGTGTGGTGCTTAACCCCTTGCGCCACCAGGGAGGCCCCTCAAAGAATTTTAAGTCAAATTAAATCAGGGTTAATATCCTAATCTTGCCACTTTCAGCTGTGGGGCACTGGACAAGTTCTCTGAAATTTCTCTAAAACTTGGTTTGCTCATCTATAAAAGCATACCTCCTCTTTCACAGTTTTTACAGACTTTTAATATAAATAGCACCTAGCCTACAGCAATTACCTCATAGTGTTTTTGTTCCAAATCTCTCCATCTCTATGTATGAAAAGACACAACTTCTATGGAAGAACCTCCAGTGGGGTTACCCTGGAGGAAAGCAGGCTCAGAAAGAGACCAAGACAAGAGTCATGGGTCTCCTATGCCCCCCTGCTCACAGGCACATGGCCTGCAGGAGGTGAAAGGTCACTTACTCCAGCTCATCCTCTGAGTCGTAGCCCACTGGCCCGGCCTCAATGGGAATGACCTCACTCTTCGCCTGGCTTTGTTTCCAGGTGCTACTTCCTGTGGAAGAGGGTGACTCCTTTCTCTTCTTCTTCCCGAAGAACTTCTTAAATGTTTTGAACTTGGATTTTTTCTTCCCTATGCAGAAAGAATGCATGAGAGCCTTTACCAAGCAAGTATGAGATGTACATGTGAAGGAGGGACAGCGAGTTTTCTGTCCACACACCAATTATTCTCTCCAGAAAAGCTCTACCACACAGAAATACACAATTAATATGGCAAGGCATTTTTGCCCACCTGAAAAAAATCTTGACTTGTTTATTTTGAGTATCTAATAAAAGGGCCAAGAAATCTTTGAAGCATGACTACAGGATCAAGGCACAAGCAAATTTCCCTTCATCTGAATCAAATTTCAATTTCTAAAATATTGACAGTCAAAGCAAAAAGTCATGATAAGACAAAGGCCATGTGATAACTCAAAATTATTATTCACAATAATTCTTAAATACTTCATTCAGCATGGATGGGAACACCAAGGGTAATCAGAGAGGTCTGGCTTCATCTGCAAAAGGTGCTCCCTGAGGCGTCAAAAGCTATCATGAGCAGTTTCAGGGAGAAATAACAGTGGTGAGGATGACTCTGCCATGCTTCTGGGATTGTTAGATTTTACACTTTTAAACCTTTTTTGACCTCTTCTCTGGTGTCTTCTTCATTCTCACTCACAAATTCTGTAATACCAAGAATCCTGTGATTTCACTTCAGCAGCTCAGCAAAGTTCATTCCTTTCCTCTGAATATTTATGAGAACTAAAAATAGGATGCAACATCATAGTTACATGATGCTCATACAGCCAGAGACTTAGCTTAATTAATTTATTTGTTTTATAAGTAAATCATTTGGTAAGATGAATTTCAAAAAACCCAAATAGAGTATTTATATTTTGCTTAGATTAATATCCCCTGGAGGAGTTTTCATGATCTTATCTCAATGTGGAGAATTACTGACACTTAGTATTACTCCAGTAGGAATTTATATATTACTTAAGTGGAATAACTCCCTGCCCAAAGAGAAATCAGTTCCACTGCAGCATTTTCTTAACTTCTAGTAGATGTTGCCTTACCTTTATAGTCACAAAATGATTATTTTGTTAGTTGATGGGTCTCAAAGAGAGTTCATTATTTAGAAAGACTCTTGAGTGCTGTCTGCATTTGCCAGGTCACTATTTGCCTCTGCCTAGTTGGTTATACAAGAAGACCCTGTATTTTGATACAGGCCCTATATTTTGATATTTGATCCTCTCCTGTACCACCCACCCCGTGAAGATATAAAAAGCAAATTCAAAGTTTTCAAGACTGGTAAATGATCTGAGGGCAAAAGTGAATTCTTTGCTCACTGATCCCTCCAGGTTTTTATCATTTTTCTTTCAATTCTGGCCTCGTTATTTCTTATCTTTAAAAAAAAATCTTAATGTTCTTATCTAGAATTTAAAATTTTAAATGAAAAGTGGTTAGTCTGAATAACTTAACTCACTACCATTTGTGGGGGGGTAAGCATATTTAAAGTTCCTGTCTTATACTGCAGGGGAGGAGGAGGGAGAAGGATCAGAAGGAGGGAGGGAGGAGCACAGGGGACTGTGGTGATGGTGGACGGGTGCCTTGGGGAAGGAAATTCTATGTGGACTCAATCTGAGGGGGTGGGGGGGGAAGCAAATATTGTTTTAAAATAAAAAAAAATTTTAAAAGGTAATCAATAAATAAAGTTCCTGTCTTTTTTAAAAAATTGATTTTTCATGGTATCCCAAAGTAGTATCTACTGAGGTTTCAGGTTAATGAAATACATCTTCAAAAACTATATTCTTCTTTAAAATCAGTAATATTTCAGTGTTCCATAATATGAGAAATATCGAAACTCAGGGTCAATTAAAAAACCCCACCTCAAATTGTGTTTATTTGGTATCTATTGATATGTGACAGAGAAAAAGTAATTCTATTATGTAATAATAAGGAAGTCTACCTATAATATATGCAATCTATTGAAATGTGACAGAAGAAAAGTAATTCTAATATGGACTAGTAAGAAAAATCTGTAATATATGAAATGAGTCTTTAAAGAATTTAGTATCTAAAGCAAATGACTGGCAGCTAGGATTTAATATTACTGGACGCAATTCCTCCTGAACTACAGCAAAGAAAATCACTATTAGCATTTTGACCTTAAACAAGAAAGAAACAGAGACCTTTGTTATATTCCTAGATGGCTGCAATCTAGGGAAAGGGAGGTCAAGGTTTTTCAATGTCAATTTTATGACTCCATTAAGAGATAAACAGCAATAGATGAATAACAGTGGACCAATCACATAATTGGGTAAATCTTGTAATGTGTTATGAGATGATGATTCATTGGTCTAAAGAAGAATAAAAGTCATAAAAAAGATGGCTCAAAGGTTCTCTCAGTATTATTTCTTCTGGATAACCAGCCTCCTACTGATAACTCTGGATGTTCTTGGGAGATAAATGATTCTACTGAATCCCTCTTCCTTTGTTTTCAAGTCAGCCAAGCAAGGGACATATTTACCTCCAGGAATGAGCTAAATGACTTAAACTCCTACCCTCACCCCCCCATGTTTGTTAGAGAAGCAAAGGAGCACTGTCCTGTCAATAGGCGGTCTTAACTAATCTGGATGTGGCCTCCACATTGTGAGAGTCTGGGGATTTCTAAGCATGCTGTGCACTCTCAGTCTCCATACAGAGAGCCCCAAAGGGCTAGCTCCTGGGCCCCAAGCCCAGTGAGGGTTTGTCCTGAGCAAGGAAAGTGAGGGTGTTACCTGTGCTGTCTTCTCCAAGTCCTTCTGCAGCCTCCCGAAGCTTAATGTCCATCACTCTTGTGGAAATCATGGCCAAATCACTAAAATCAGATGGAAGTTCATATTTTAAAAAAATGACGTCTACACTTGATCTTAGCCAAAACACTAATTATAATAAAGTAAAAATCAAAATCAACAAGCAACTATAAACCAGAAACACACTATAAGAGGGGAGAAGGGAACAGGATCAAAACAAGGGTGGTGAGAATTTTATGGGGACTATAACCAAGATAAAAATGCATACATTGTACAAAAATGAAAAATTATGTAAAAAATATATAAAATAAAAACAAAAAAACAAAAAAATTATGTCTAGCAGTAGCTGATAGAGAATGAAATGATGGTGAATGCTTTTTGCCTATGAACTCACCTGCACACACCCAGCAAAGACACATTCCAGGGCAGAGTACAGGCCAGTATAAGGCAAAAATATATCTACTGCTTAAGATTAGTAACTACATAGGCCTTTATCTAGTTGCTGACAGAACAACTGAATGGGAAACAGATACCAACAGCAAGTACTTCACCAAATTACACAATGCATAATTTTTTTAAAACAACATTTTTCATAAATTAGGGGGGTTTTTTGGTTCACTGTAGAAAACTTGGAAAATACAGAAAATGAAAAGCATCCATAATCCCTCCAAAGACAACCACAGTTGATACTTTAATGTATTTCCTTCCAGTGTTTCTATCCTATGTTTTGTGTGTACACACACACACAAACACACACACACCCTATTAGGAAGACTGACTTTCTGATGGTCCTACTTATACCACACCATGAAAGTTCTTTATGAGTGTTTACTCAATAGATATGTAGTATTTTGAAATAAAGTTATACCATCATTCATTTACATTGAGTTTCTTTACTGTACTTTTGATTATGAAAAATTTGAAGCAAAGGAAAACAGAGGACATTTTTTGCTTTGACTCCTCCAAAGCAAATCAATCCAGATATTATTTCACCCATTTGCACTTGGCTCCTTCCTAAATTAGAAATCTTTGACTCTTCTTGGAAATGAAATAAATAATTACTGATAAATAACCTTGTTACAAAACACTGAGCTAATGTGTGTGTAATGTGTGTGTGTGCCCAGCCTTCCAAACTGATTTTTAGTTTGTGTGTGTGTGTGTAGCAACATACATATATTATAAAACTAATTAAAAGAAAAATTACTTCTTTTTACTTAGGAAAAGAGGGATTATGTGTAACTCTGTAGCTGTCTTTATTTTTTAAATTAATTTGTTTATTTAAATTTTTAAATCTAGTACTTTTTTCTTAGATCATTGCTAATTTATGGACAATACATGATTTCTCCCTGCAGGTGTGGTCACCCTAGTTCTCCCACCACCAAAACTCCCACAGTCCATCACCATATTCCCTTGTGCTCTTCACCCACTTCTCCTTCCTCCTCCCCCCTCAGCTTCTCTCCAGGATGCCTCATATCTATGGGCAGGCCAAAGCTGAGGAAATTAAACTGAAAATAAGCAGAAGTACATCATACATATTAGAGCAAAAATTAAATGAAATAAAAAAAAGGGAAAACATTTGAAAATTAGAAAACACAAGGCTGGCTCTTTAAAAAGATCAACAAAATTTGAAAGTCCAGAAGTGTGAAAACATCATTTTCCCTCTATTTTATCAGGATTGCTTTGGCTATTCAGGGGTTTTTTTGTGCTCCCATATGAATTTCAGTAATGTTTGTTCTGTATCTTTGAAGAATGTCGTTGGAACTTTGATAGGGCATTGAATCTGTAAAATGTTTCGGGTAAAATGGCCAGTTTGACAATATTGATTTTTCCAATCCATAAACAAGGAATATCCTTCCATTTCTTTATATCTTCTTCTATTTTTTTTTAGCAATTCTTATAGTTTTCATAGTATATATATAGGTCCTTCACTTCCTTTGTTAAGTTTACTCCTAGGCATTTAACTCTTTTTGATGCAACTGCAAATGGGATTGTTTTCTTTATTTCTTTCTCTTCTAACTCACTGCTGGCATATAGGAATGCAACTGATTTTTTATATATTGATTCTGTAACCTGTCACTTTGCTGATTTATTGTTTCAATTAGTTTCTTAATGCAGTCTTTATAGAGTTTTCTATGTACATTATCATGTCATCTGTAAATAATGGTATCTTCACTTAGTCTTTCTTGGATGTAAGATCTGAAACCTTAAGATACATAGAAAAAAAAAAAAAATAGGCAAAGCACTCCAAAACACAGCCTTTAGAGGTGTTTTTGTAGATTTTTCTCCAACACAGCAAGAAAAACAAAAAAGAATATAAACAAATGGTGGGCTTCCCCGGTGGCGCAGTGGTTGAGCGCTGGGTTGCGAAGCTGCCGGCGACCTCTGCGGCGCCGGTTCGATCCCCGGCTGCTCCCCGGCCACCGGAGGAGGGTCCCACATGGCGCGCAGACCTCTCCTGCCGCCCGCTGCTCCCCTCAGCAGTGTACTTCGGTCCTTCTGCCTGCTCTGCTCCCCGCTCTGGCTCTGGTGAATTCTCTCACCCTCCCGCGCTTCTGACTGTACCCAGTGCATGTATAAACAAAAACAAACAAATAAATAAATAAAATAAAACATGCCTCTAAAAAAAAAAAAAAAAAAAAAAAAAAGAATATAAACAAATGGGACTACATCAAACTAAAAAGCTTCTGCACAGTAAAAGAAACTGTCACTAAATCAAAAAGACACCATAGTGAATGGGAGAAAATATTTGCACACCATCTACCTGAGAAGGGGCTTATATCCATGATCTACAAAGAACTCATATAATCAACAAAAAGAAAACAATGAATCCAAATTTTAAAATGGGCAAAAGAGTGAAAGAGGAAAGAAGACAATATAAGAACAAATACAGAAGGCCAATAGCATATAAAAAACATGCTCATCATCACTTATTGTTAGGGAAATGCAAATCAAAACCACAATGTGGTATCACCTCACACCTAAGAGAATGAATGGTGTGTGACAAAAAGATCAGAAACAAGTATTTGCAAACATATCAAGAAAAAGGAACCCTCTTACACTACTAGTGTAAGGGAATTTAGATTGGCCCAGCCCCTATGGAAAATAGTAATGGAGGCTTCTCAAAATATTAAAAATGAATCTATCTTTGATCTAGCAATTCCACATCAAGATGCCTACCCAAAGAATAAAAAAATGCTAATTTAAAGGGGATTATGACTCCCATGTTCATTGCAGCGCTGTATACAACAGCCAAGCTGTGGAAACAACAAACAATGCCCAAAAACAAATGAGTAGATTGGGAAGACAAGGTGTATATAAACAATGAAATTTTACTCAGCTATCAATAAAGATAAACTCTTGTTATCTGTGGCATCACAGTTGGAGGTGTAGAAGATTATGCTAAGCAATATATGTCAGATGGAGAAAGACAAATACCAGATAGTGTCACTTGTATGTGAAATATAGAGAAACCAAACAAAGGGGCAGATAAAGCCAAACCAATAGCAAACCCTGGAAACTTGACCATAGAACTGAGGCTACCAGAAGGGAGAGAACAAAGTGGAGAGGGAGCACAGTGGACTATGATGGAGGACTATGGTGTTTGGTGGTGGATGTGGTATGGTAATCATACCTGAACGGGGAAATCCTCTAAATCATAAACACTGTTGTAAACCAATTTTACCTCAAAGGAATGAAAAATCAACAAAATTGATAGAACTTTAGTTCAACTGACCAAGAGGAAAAAGAGAGGACTCATATTACTAAAACCAAGAATTGAAAAAAATGAAAAGGATTACAGGAAATTATGAATAACTTGTATACCAAAAAATTAGATAACTTAGATGAGGTGGTGAAATTCCTGAAAAGACACAAACCATCGAATCAGTGTGAAACAAAAATTTGAACAGACTTACAAAAAGAAAAGGGATTAGTCATTTTTAAACATCAAATACAGGCCTACATGTCTCATTGTTGAATTCTATCAAAAACTTGAAGACTTAACAGCAAACAATCCCTTCCCAAACTGTTCCCCAAAAGAAAGGCAATCTTTGCAACTCATCCCACGAAGTCAGTATTGCACTGATATGCAAACTAAACAAAGATATCACAATAAAACTACAGACAAAATCGCTTACAAATATGAACACAAGCATTCTCAGCACAGTGCAAGCAAATCAAACCCAGCAAACACATAAAAGTGGTATTTATTCTAGGTATGCACATTGGTCTAATATATGAAAATCAATTATTGTAGAAATATTAATATACATTCAAGGGAGGCATGCAAATTAAGAATCAAAAATTCTCAATAGAATACTAGAAAAATTACTCCAGCAATATTTAAAATAATATGTATCATAACCAAGTGGGATTTATCTAGCAATGCAAGGTTGCTTCAACATATGAAAAGCAATGAACACATTTATAATATCTTGCCATATTAACAGAATAAAAAAACAAAATGATCAACTCAGTAGATGCAGAGAAAACATTTGACAAAATCCAATACCTTCTCATGATATAAATATTCAGCAAAGTAGGAATACAGGGAAATTTTCTTGACCTGATAAAGGTATCTACAAAAAACCTAAAGTGAAAGAACAAAAGTTTTCTCCTTAAGATGAGGGAAAAGACAAGGATAACTGCTCTCATACATCTAACTCATCTTTGCACTAAAGATTCTAGACAGGGCAATTAGGCAAGAAAAAGAAACAAAACATTGAGATCAGAAAAGAGGAAGCAAAACTATTCCTATTTGTATATGACATGATTTTGTAAACAAAATCTCTTATAAACTAATAGAAATAAAATTAACAAAATAATTCTATTTACAATGGCATCTAAAAGAATAAAATACTTAGAAATAAAACACTTTCTATTTATATCACCAGGGAGGTGATATACTTGTATTTAGTATACAAAATCTATTATATGTCTACATGTGAACAATGAACTAAAAGAAAAATTTTAAAAAACTCCATTCACAATCATATCAAAAAGTATTAAATACCTAAGAATAAACAAAGAAGGTAAAAGACTTACATGGCAATAACTACAAGACATT